CTCAAAACTAAGCAAACAAATCCTTATACCTCCTCTGTCCCCCTCTTCACTCTCCAAAGAAGCCAAAGAGATGGCTGGTGAGATGAGAGGGAAGCCTCCACCCCTGGGCTTTTCTCCCCATTTCTCTCTTCTGTTTCCCCCACCCCCTCCTCTGTCCCTGCCCCTCTGGCTTCAGATGGATTGTGCTGACTTCAGCAGTCTGATGAATGGGGGTTTGAGAGGAGGAAATCTCACTTTGCTGAGCAAGGAAAAAAAGGGGGGAGTCTTTAAGTTTTGGAGCGTCTGATTTGGTTTGCTGTTTGCCCTCAAGAAATCTGATCCAGGTTCCTCAACACACCACAGCATTTGTCATCAAGGCCAAGGAAAAGGTCCCATAAGCTCAGCCCCAGAGAAATGTGGAGACACATTTCACAGGCACAAGGAATAAGTCTTTTTTCTCAGGCAGCTGGATGGAGCTAAGGAAACATTCTGACAATGAAAAACTCTGATCTCTTTTGGCCATAGAGGCAGTGGATGGATCTCCATCTGAGCCTCAAAAGACATGTCCCTTAGTTTCCCCAACAGCACAGCAGGATTAGACTGGGCAGTGTATTGGGGACCATCTCTGCTGAAGGAAATCTATAGTGTATGTCCTTGTTCTTTCTCCCACTTGTTTCCTAATCCTCCTGGGGCAACATATTCTTAGGGATTAGGAAGCTGTTTGAGTTCATGGTCTTATGTTCATCTTTCAGAGGCCCCTCTTCCCTCTTTGGTCTCCGACTCCACCCTGGGTCCCCAGGACTCCCCACTGCATCATCCCAATGAGACACGTCTTCCTCAGCGATAGACGATACTCCCAACCTTCCCAGACAGCCTTCCACCTTCATCTTACCTGCTCTCTATCTCGTTCCCTCAAGGCTTTACCAACCAAGTGATGAACAAGAATGAAGTGAATGGAGCTGGTCTGCTGAGCTAATTCAAACCGAAATACTAAGTGGGTGCCATTGATTTAAAGTGACTCCAGATCACATATTTATACTTGCCCCAAAACCTTCAATGCCCGGACTTGGAGGAGTGAATTCAGTTCAGCATTTTAGGACTGGTGGGGAAACGTTTTTGAATAGTTGGGTTTTTCAGGGTCCTCCAAGCCTGATCACATGGGCAACTATCTACAGTGTTCAGGCTTGGGATTTGGAGATAAAGAATCAAAGGCATCCAGTGGTGTGGGGCCGTACCTCAGGGGGAGAGTATGCTGCAGCAGCGTCCCTCTGCAAGGCTGCCCGAAGGCCCGGAATGCCTCCTTGGGTGCCAGTGGAGCAGTTTCCTTTGTCTCTCTTGTTCATTTCATTCCGAATATCTTCCACGTCCTCTTTGATCTGCTCATTTTCCTTGGTGAGATTTTTAGAAACTTCCTGGGAAAGTGGAAAAGAGAAGGCCCCTTTGAAAGGATCTAATGACAACAGGAAAACAGCTGTGGCTAAGGGGCTCTGAGACCCATAAAATTTTAGAGCTAAAAGGGGACTCCAAGGTCAATCAGTCTAATCCCTTTGCCAAAGCATGTGTCGCACCCACTTCTTTGTCTCCTTAAAGTGGGACAAACTTCCCACCTTGGAAATCAGTCAGTTGCCAAGTATCTAGGTGCCTACTATATTTCTGGCACTGTGCTGGACATTGATGCCAGGTCACAAGGCACAGTTTTCAGGGCAAGCCCATCTTAGCTTCAGAATCACTGAGTCGGAAGTAGGGGTGTACTGTAGCCAGCTCAAACCAGCTCGGACAGCTGATTGTTAAAATTTCAGTGTGAGCATTTCTACCTTAGAAATCAACGAATGCTACAAATCAGGGCTTGATTCATTATTTTGTTGATTGTCTAGCCTTCAGAAAGTGATGCAAAAGATGTGAATAATGCAGATTCAACTTAAAAGTGTGTATTTTGGGGGTTTGTTTTTCTAGAGAGCTGATTGTTCCCTGCTTGGAAGGTACCCTCACTAGTAAATGACAGGACTGGCACCCTAGTTCTTTGGATTTCTAGTCCAGCTGCCGGTCATATTTTCCAAGAATGCCTGTACTTTTATTGACTTTAATGATAGGTCTACATTGCTCATAATCCACTGTAATAATAAAAAGAAAGCAACTCACATTTTTAAAGCTCTTTCAAGGTTTACAAGATCCTTTATAAGAGCCATGTGAAATAGGTAGTCTAAAGTATTACTTTTTCCATCTCAAACATGGCAGTCAGGGGGTGGGGGGAGAGGGACTTCAAGTCACAAAGCTTGGAAATATCAGAGCTGGGACTCAAACTCAGGTCCTCTGACTCCCAACTATGCAGCAACATATGTCTCTACGGCACGAAGGCCCGCCATTTTTGTTCCCAGACCGTCTTACCTAGTCTTGTATTTTTTAACATTGTAGGAACATTGTCCTCATTTGGAATCCACTTATTTGAAATTTGTGGTCATTTGGATCTCTGAAAATTGCCTTACCCCTAAGAAAAAGTGATTTGCTAAGCAATATAAAGAAGGTTATCTGAAAGATGCTTAATCTAACTGAGAGAACAAATCTTTTCAAGTTCTTGAGAAGCAGAACCAAATACAGTCCTTTGAACAGAGCAGGTATTTGAATGTTTATTGAATTTGAATTTCAATTGTTAAAATTCAATCATTATTGCCTCTCTATAAAGGCAATAATAATAACAATAGTAACAGCAACAATAATACCACTATTACCACCACCACCAACAATAACAATACCTGACACATATTTAGTGCCTTAAAATTTTCAAGGCATTTTACGTGTAATATTTTAGTATAGTGTAAGAGGCAACATGGCCTAGTGAAGAAAGAGCTGACCTAGCACTTAGGAAATTCCAACTCTGACATATACTTGCAGTGTGACTCTAAGCAAGTTACTTAAACTCTCTGGCCCCAGGAAATCCTCTCACTTGCCCATCTGCAAAGGAATTTCCTACCTGAGAGTTCTTATATTACTGAGGCCCCAGGCCCAGCCTCAAAATTCCAGTATAGTGAACCACTAACAATTTTTGTTGTTGTTAATCTTTTCAGTTGTGTCTGACTCTTTGTGACCCCATTTGGGGTTCTCTTGGCAAAGATACTGGAGTGGTTTGCCATTTCCTTCTCTATACTGCTATCAATAGCAGACCTTAATAGAGCATGCTAGGCTAGCTAACATGGGTAGCTCAGTGGCGCAGTGGATAAAATGCTGGGCCTGGACTCAGGAAGACTTATCTATAAAATGAGCTAGAGGAAGAAATGGTAAACCACTTCAGTATCTTTGCCAAGAAAACCCCCAATGGGGTCATCAAGAGTCTGACACAACTGACCAACAGCAAAAAGGTTTTCAGAGAGCTCTCTACCTGTTATCTCATTTGTTTCTCATGACAGACCTGTGAGTTAGGTGTTATTATTATTCCCATTTTATAGATACGGAAACTAAGGCTTAGACAGGTCAGTCAATTTGCTTGACAAGAATAGTATAGCTCTATATAACTAAAGATAGATTGGAACCCAGGTTTTCCTGATTTCAAGCTTGACACTTTATCACATGATTGCATTAGAAAGTACAACCTATCCCAACTAGAGTGAGTGAGCATACACTCACAAAGCCCACTACATCAAGTTGGTTTCGCACAAGGACACCAGACCACGTAGCATATCACATGTCTCTGGTCAACTTCTAGCTACATTGCATGTACCTTCCCTCCTCCCTTTCCATCTCTTGCTTTAGTAACTATAATCAAATCAATACTACCATTACTTCTGAAACACACACATTAATGGATTTCCCTTTGACTCCACTCTCCAACCCTATTGTTCCCTAGATGAAAACATCCCTCCATTACTATGTTATCTCCCTCATTAAAATGTAAAGTTCTCGAGGGAAGGGAGTGCCTCAGTTTTTGGGTCTTGGTCCCTGGCAAAGTGATCAGCACACAGTAGGTGCTTAATAAATGCTTTCGTTCATTCATTTGAATCTCAGACCTGCTACTTACTCCCAGTGTGACTTGGGGCAAGTCACTATACTTGAGATAATAATTAGCAATATACAAAATGAGATAATATTTATAAAGTGCTTAGTACAATGCACATAGTAAGAGCTGAATAAATGCTTCTTCCCTTATCCCCTTCTTCTTTGGACCCCAGTTTCTTCATCTGTAACATGAAAGAACTGGATTAAATGATCTTCAAGGTCTTTTCTCCCAATTATTTCTATGGTCCTAATTCACAAGCTAATTATAAATCTTGTTTATTCCTTGCTGAAATGATTCCTGAAAGATTCCTCTTTCTAAGGTAGATCTGTATAAGCTAGCTCTAGGCATTGTATGTTTTTAGAGCACTAAAACTGTCAAGTAGTGGTCATTTCTTGAGCAAGCAGCTTATTGTGTGTAAGGACCAATGCTTGATGGTAGAGGGGAGACAAAGCAGTATAAGACAGAGTGGCATCCTGGAGGACTTCACAGATCGAGCAGGGGAGGGAATGGAAAGATTACCCATGAGGATACCAGGCGGTGTCTGTAGGATAAGTTCCATATGAGGGGTCCAGGCAGTATGTACAAGGTTCAGAGGAGGGAGAGGTCACCTTAGGTTGGGGTGGCCAGGGAAGGTTTCAAAGAGAAAGACTTGAGTAGGGAAGGATGAAGAGGATTTTGACAGCCTTGTTTTAATAAGAGACAGAGTGTGGCAGAAAAAGTCCTAGCCTCAGTTCACTTGGCTATTAAATGGGGGTGGGTCTGGATTTAATCACCTTTAAGGTCTCTTCCAGCTCTAAATCTAGGATCCTGTGATCTCTAGAAATTTATATGAACCTCAATTTCCTCATCTGTGAAATGAAGAGGGGAGTACTGACTTTGCAGGGTTATGGAGAGGATAAAGTGGGTTAATGAATGTAAGACACCTTGTGAACATGTGATCAAGCAGGTATAAGTGGAATGGCTTACATGCTTCACGGGTTGCCTGTGTCCTATTTCAATTCAATTCAATAAAAATGTAGTGCTAGGCACATAGATCCTTCTGGTTTGTGTATGTGATGAATGGGTGTTCACTCACCTGAGTAAGATGTGCCACCCCAACCTTTCTTGTTACACACAGGTATATTACCCGTCTGTTTGAATTAGAAACTTTAGTTTTTTGGGGGGCAGCTAGGTGGAACAGTGGATAGAGTGCCAGGCCTGGAGTCAGGGAGACGCATCTTCCCAAATTCAAATCTGGCCTCAAACACCTACCAGCTATGTGACCCTGGGCAAGTCACTTAATCCTGTTTCCCTCAGTTCCTCATCTTTCAAATGAGCTGGAAAAGGAAACAGCAAACCACTCTAGTATTTTTGCCAAGAAAACCCTAAGTGGGGTCATGAAGAGTTGGACGTGACTGAACAACAATAACAATGTGCCAGGCACTGTGCTGAGCTATGTCCTGCTATAAAACCAAGAATTCCCAAGATATAAAGATCCTGGGACATTAAAGGATTAGTACAGCCCAGTGACAGACTCATACCGGCTTCTACCCAAAGGCAGTACTCACCACATATGCTTGGCATAGCTAACCAGATTGCTACAGAGGTGCAATACAGAGGAAAGTATATCAGAGTCAAAAGACCTGGATTGACGAGGTTCAAGTTCTGGTTACTAGGTGTGGACTCTGAGCAGTTAAATATCTTAACTTCTTTGAGTCTCAAATTCAGCCTCAGACACTTACTTAGCTGAGTGACCCCGGTCAAATCACTTAATCTGTTTGCCTGAGTTTCCTCAACTATAAAATGGGGATAATAATAGCACCTTCCTACCAGGATTGTTGTGAGGATCAAATGAAATAATATTTTTGAAGTGTTTAACATAGTATCTGGCATACATCAGGTGCCTAATAAATTCCTTCCTTCCTTTCTTTCTTCCTTCTTTTCTTCCTTCCTCCTTTTCTCCCTTCCTTCTTCTGTAAGATGGGGATCAATTTAACTCAACACACATTAATTAAGGACATACTATGCATCAGGCATGGTGTTGGGCATTAGGGCATACAAAAGACACACAGAAAATAATTCATTTTCTCATGGAGCTTGTGTTTGCCTGGATAATAGTGTTTGCCCCATAGGGTAAAGACTAAAGGAAAAAATGTATGCAGAGCACTTTGTGACCATAAAAAATAATAAGTGTTTGTTGAATTGCGTTACGTAAATGTGAGCTTCTACCATTGCTGGAATTCTCGGCATACTGGGGATGTTATCCATTAGAGATTAGAACACTCTGGCCTTTCTCCACTATTCCAAGTTGGGGTTAATTGGCCAGAGCTTAAATGCTTTGGTGACCTTTGAAACTCATGGGTTTCAGAAGAGGATCAGTTTCTGAAACATCTTGGAAGTAGTAGCTTGTTCCTATCTGGGCTCATGGAATCCTGATGGGTCCCCTGACCATGAACTGCATTCATAATCCAAGGATGCACAACTAGGAAAAGCCAGTTCTGATTCAACCATTTGGAAACCTGGGACACCACTAATTTTGCTTTTTCAGCTTTCAAACAAAAGTTTCACTGATCATTTCAGGTGCTACCTCCTCTGTGAAGCTTTCCCTGACCTTCTCACCCGAAGGAATTTTTTTCCCCCATCCTCAAACTGTCCAAGTGCATTTTGTCCACATTTCTCCTTTGTCCTCATCAAATTCTGCCTTGTACTTATCTGGGCAGTGGTCTATTCCCATCCCCTTAAAATCGTTGAAAGCAAGTTTTGTGTCATTTTTCTTCTCTGTATTTTCGTACAGTGCCTTGCACATAGTATAAACTTAAAAACATTTGTCAAATTGATCCACACTTTGTGACATGTTTTCCCTCTGACTGTAAAAGACTCCTCTGGTTACCCTCCTCATGGGGAGAAAAGCTGAGATAGGGAGAAAAACATCATCTTAGTCAGAGCTCAGCATCAGTGGGAAAGTTTGTTGAAAACCACACCCAGTTCCCTGACTGTGTCTCATAGTTCCCTTGGGGATTTACATGGCAGCTTTAGATGCAAATGAAATCCAGGTGGGTTTCATTAATTCTTTCCACATCTCTCCACATACTGTGTGGATGGCACCTGGACTCTAGAAAGAAGTAAGAACTGAGTCAGCCTCCATATGAAGGATGCCCGGCACAGCTGGAGGGTGAGGGTAAGGAGGAGGCACAGAGCTCCTCAGAGGCCAAGGATGGGTGTGGATCAACTGGTTTGTCTAAGAGTCACTGAGGTATCTAAGAAGTAGAGCACTTGCTAAGTGGGGGAAGCATCTCTAGAAAACACTACTCCTGGTTTGGCACAATAAATCGTATAAAAAAGCACTACCTTCAAGCATTTGAAGAACTATCACATAGAAAAGGTTCTAGACACCCCCTTAGAAGGTCTGAGAGCCCATAGAGGTTCTTAATGGAGTCCACAGACCCCTAATGGGGGGGGACACCTAAATAGATTTCATGGGGTCCATGAACTTGGATGGGAAAAATTACATATTTATTTCAATATCATTGCTTTTTTTTGGCTTGTTACATATTGTTGGTTCAGTCATTTTAGTCATGTCCTGCTCTTTGTGACCCTATTTGGGGTTTTCTAGGCAGAGACATTGGAGTAGTTTGCCATTTTTTCCTCCAACTCATGCTACAGATGAGGAAACTGAGGCAAACAGTGTTAAGTGACTTGCCCAGGCTCACACAGCTAGTAAGTGTCTGAGGCGGGATTTGAACTCAAAAAGATGAATCTTCCTGATTCGAGGCCTGGTACTCTATCTATTATATCACCTAGCTGCCCTAGTGTTACATATTACATTATTCTAAAAAGAGGTCTCTTGGGTCACCTGTCATCAAAGGGATCTAGGACACCAAAAAGGTGAAGACCCCCTGCTCCAGCCATTCTGCTTGATCCAAGAGGGAGGGACTGGGAGCGATGGGTGGAAGTTTCAAAGACGCAATTGTAGTCTTGTTGTTAGGAAAAACTTCCAAATAGAGAGCCATCCACAAGTGGAATGAGCTACCTGAAGAAGGCAAAGATCTAGATTTGAACCCCACCTCTGACGTTAACTGAGTGACTTGGCCAAGTCATTGACTGATCCACTCCCAGGCTGTTTACTCCTCTATAAAATGGGGAACAAGGATTCCTGTGATGCCAGCCTCCACAAGGTTGTCGTGAAGCCCAGTGGAGATCCCTGATCGCATCCTTGGCAAACATCAAAACCCTCTCTATATACATGTCAATTGTTATCAGGGTTATTCTCTCCCAGGAGGGCTTCAAGCCCTGGCTGGATGACCACTTGTCAGGAACCTGGGGGTGCTTCTTGACGAGGCACAGGGCTCTGAGGTCCCATCTGACGCTGAGATTATGATTCTGTGGGCATGCCTGTATGTTATTTTCTTTTCAAAGCCTTTTCCTATCTATGATATCATTTAAACCACACAGAAGCCCTTTAGGAGAGGCAGCTGGGACCACTATTATCTCCATTTTGCAAACGGCAAGCCCCAAGCTCTGAGATGTTAATGATAACAACTTACACTCTTGAAATAGAAGCTGTCCCAAAAGTCTTAGTGCAAGGGCAACTGTCTCTAATAGCTTAAAACTGCGCTAAGACTCTTGACACACTTTGTGCTTTAAAGTCAACACCTTCCACACAAAAACTCAACGGTGCTGCCAATAGGGCAGGTGCCGTTACTCCTGTTTTACAGTCCTGGAAACTGAGGTTCCAAGGGATGAACTGTTTAGGTGCATCTAGTTAGAATGGACTTTTTTGTGGTCACACAACTAGTGTTTTTGAAAGTCAGGTCTGGGGGAGGTAGGTGGTGCAGTGGATACAGCGGCAACCCTGGAGTCAGGAGGACCTGAGTTCAAATCTGACCTCAGATACTTACTAGCTGTGTGATCCTGGGCAAGTCACTTAACCCTGCAGCCTAATGATTGCATGTGTATAAGGTGTATCAAACTGCTTGCCTTCTCAAGCAGGGTGGGGAGGGAAAGAAAGAATTTGGAACTCAACATTTTAAAACACAAATGTTAAGGGGAAGCTAGGTGGTGCAGTAGATAGAGCTCTGGCCTTGTAGTCAGGAGGACCTGAGTTCAAATCTGACCTCAGATATTTGACATTTATTAGCTGTGTTACCTTGGGCAAGTCACTTAACCCTGATGTCCTCACCCCCCAAAAAATGTTAAAAATTGTTTTTAACCTGTAATTGAAAAAATAAAATTAAACATAAAAAATTTTAATTGAAAAATTTTTTAAAGGAAAAAAAAACTCAGGCCTAGAACCAGGGGTAAATGTTTAACAACCAGCTCTCTGAGAAAAAAAAATGTATGTATGGCCCACTTTTAAGTTTAATCCACATTATTAACATTTTTTCCAGCATTTTCTTAAGTCTAGACAATTAATGAAACAATAAACCAAACCGTGATTTGTAGCATTTGCCCATTTCCCATGTAAATGGTCACACTGGAAATTTAATAATTGACCCTCACAACCAGTATTCTTACTAACTCCAGCACTTCCCTATCTAAAAACCTGGATCTTTTAACTCTCAAACTGCTCTCTTTCCTCTTCACCAGCTGGCCTCTTGAACCACGCAGTGAGAGTTGAAATAGACTCCGGGTCTTCCGATGCCTCTAATGCTATTCCCTGACCGGGCCAAGTAGTTGGCTCAGTGAATAGAGCACAGGCCTGGAGTCAGGAAGACCCGAGTTCAAATCTGCCTTCAGACACTTACTAGTTGTGTGACCCTGGGCAAGTTAATTAACCCCGTTTGCCTCAGTTTCCTCATCTGTAAGATGAGTTGGAGAAGGAAATGACAAACCACTTCAGTACCTTTGCCAAGAAGACCCCCAATGGGGTCATGAAGAGGCAGACATGACTGAATTAACAACTCCTAATGCCCCTACCTTGCCACACCCTACATCTATCCAGTGTTTGCTTCACTGTATCATCTGGGTAGGAGGGAATGGGTAGCATGGTAAAAGCAACACTAAAAAGACTTGCATTCAAGGCCCACCTCTGCTGTTTACAAGGTAGGTTACCTCGGGCAAATCACTCATGGGCCTCAGTCTTCTCATTCGTAAAACAAGGAAGTTGGACTTGAAGACCTCTGGGCTCTCTTCCAGATCTGTGGTCCAATATTGTTTG